CCCCCCCGCCACTGACCCCGAGGCCACCGCAGCCCGCTGCCTCCAGCTGTGCCGCTTGCTGCTCTCAGCCGGTGCCGACCCCAATGCTGCCGACCAGGACAGGCGGCGGCCCCTGCATCTGGCCTGTCTTCGCGGCTATGGGGCCATCGTGGAACTGCTCCTGTCCTGTGGCGTCAGTGTCAACGCCATGGACTATGGGGGACACACAGCCCTGCACTGTGCTCTGCAGGGCCCCCCCTTGGCCCTGGCCCAGAGCCCAGAGCATGCAGTGCGAGCTCTGCTCAACCACGGTGCCGTCCGAATCTGGCCTGGGGCTCTCCCCAAGGTACGGGGCTGGGGGCAGAGGGAGGGCAACGAAGGCCAGGGAACAGGAGACCAGGCCTGTGTGCCCACACGCTCTGGGTGTAGCCCAGGCCACTTGGGCATTTGATAGGTCAGTTCAGTCTTTCATTCCACAAGCCAGCAAAGCCCAACAGGGGGCAGAGGTGAGGACACAGACCAGCGGAGGAGTATGTGTGTACACATGTGTGAACGTGCATCCATGTGCGCACACATGTGTGTACATATACATGTGCACTCCATATAGACTGAGGGCAGTGGGGCCAGATTGTAAAGGATTGGAAGAGTCCGAGAGGAGGAGCCAGGATTGATGCGGACAGAAGGAGTGAGCTGATAAAAAAAGCCTTAGGCAGCTCTGCCTGGCTGGTCCAATCAGTGAGACACTTGAAGCTCAGGCGAGGCTCCCGGGAGCAGGTGATGAGCCTGGGTCATGAGGTTCGAGACGAGCTTGGGAGCTTGGTCCTGGTTTCTGGGTGCTTGGCAGGACAGGCATCACCCAGTCCCGCGCAGCTGTCCTGGCACCTGGGAAAAAATCCTTCACTGTCAATTTCCAATCTGTCTCTTAATTTATGTTAACGTCCCCAAAGGGGGTTCACCTGGAAGACCTGTTACTGATGCCCTGGCAGGGGGCCCTGTCCCATGCAGTGTCGTGTCTGGAGGTGGCTATATGACGTCATGAAGGGCACTGGGTTTTGGGTTGGGTCAGGACTGATATGGCTGTGGGCAGGTGCCCCTGCCCTATCTCCCTGCTTATTCCGTCCAGCCTGGCCTTGTCCTGGATGCTCCCCTTCTGTCCCTACCTTTCCCCTCCACTCACAAACCTAGAAGCATTTGTCTAGATTCCTAAGCAAGACCAAATAATTAAGCAGCCTGAGAGTTCGGCAGATTGGTCTCCCCTTTGGGAGAATACAAGAAAATCAACAATTAACACTAATTAATCTCCTATTAACACCAGATAATTAGGAGACAAGTAATTCCCTGTAATCTGACAGTGGCTCTGACAGCTAATGATTCCCGGAGTCAGAAACAGGGTGGGAGGAGGAGGTGGAACAGCAAGCGGATTTCCCAGGACCCCTCTGCCGGCCCCTCTGGTCCTGCTCCTCCCTGCCTCCCGGACCAAGGGGGCCACACAGCAAAGAGCCCCATTCATCCCTTCATGATCGGAAAGTGCAGGATCCATTTCCCACGATTGGACAGTTATGCCAGGCTCACTGGGATGCCTGTTCTCTGGTAAGGAACTCCTCCCTGCTAGGAGGTCTCCGTTGGCCCACCTGGGACCACTGCCAGCCCCAGCCAGTTCTCTAGGAGCCACCATACGGGACTGAGCACTTAGGAGACCCGGTTTTGATGCTCGTGTGACTATAGACAAGTCACTGGAATTTTTTGAACCCAAGATCCCTGCGACCAACCGTGATGAAAAGCGATTGGAGCACAGTGGGTAACAGTAGAGCCAGCACAGTCCTGCCCACACACAGACACCGTTTGAAGGTGTGTGACCTGTTACATGGGTCCCCTTAGTCCTCCCAACAACCTCTGAGGTAGGTGGCGGCTGAGAGTGCAGGCTCTGGAGCCAGGCACACTATCTGGGTGACCCTTGGCAAGTTGCTTAGTCTCTCTGGGCCTTAGTTTCCTCATCTGTAAAATAGGAACATAACAGTATGCCTGATTCTTAGGTTAGTGTGAGAACTAAACGGGTTTACACATACAAAGCTCTTTGGACAGGGCCTAACTGGAGTCCGTGTGCAACCCCTGTTAGCTAGCATTGTTTTGAAATTGCATAGTGTGTGTGAAAGCACTTGGAAAGCTGTTAGTCGTTATCCCAATGTAGGGTAACACTAGACAAGGGAGAGAGAGGCACAGGCTGGAACGCAGGAGAGTTCCTGGAGGGGAGGGGACTTGGGCTTGAAGAGCTGGAGGCACGGGCATTCCAGGCAGCGTGCAGAGACAAATCAACGTGGGCCAGGAAAGACAGAGACTGGCCCCAACAGCAGGCAGAAGGAGCAGGTCGAGCAGGGAAGTCCGATGTAACCAGCTTGCAACTTCCTAGCTCTAAGGAGTGAGGAAAAGAGGCCTGCCCTGGGCAGATAGCTGGGGCAGCTTCGGTGAGCACTGCCCCGATGCAGGGCCAGAAACAGAGGGCCGTGGGTGTGTGCGATGCTTTCTCCAGGGGTCCTGCTTCCTGGACAAGGCCTTCCCCCTGCTCCCATTATCTGGCGGTGCCCAGTCCATGCAGCACTCCCAGCCGGCCATGCAAATGAGTCTTCTCTCCTTGTGCGGGGTGTTAAGGCCCCTAATGCCAGTGTGTGGGGAGGGAAGTGGGGTATGTACAGAGATGCTGCCTGGAACATGGCACCTGGCTGTTTTCAGATTTTACAAAGAATCTGTGGCCGGTAGCTTGACATATAGCAAGAAATGGAGATGAAGCACGAATCTGCTTATGGCTATTACATGCAGGCATGGGTGGGTATGACAGTACCTGTGTGTGCCACACCTGTGCATGGCTGCCTTTCTGACCACGTGGATGGTCCCCCAGCATGGGCAGCTTCCTGGCATGGCTTGCCCTCACTGCATCCAGGTGTGGGCAAGGTTGGTTTCTTCCAGAGGCTCCGAGAGAGAATCTGTTCCATGCCTGTCCCCAAGCTTTTGGTGGCTGCCCACACTCCTGGGCGCTCCTTGACTTGTAGGCTCATCACTCCAATCTCTGCCTCCATTGTCACATGGCATTCTCCCTGTGTGATGTCTGTGTTCTGTTTTCTCGTCTTATAAAGATAGCAGGCATATTGGATTAGGACCCACCCTAATGGCCTCAGTTTAACTCGATTACATCGGCAAAGGCCCTATCTCTGAATAGGTCACATTTATAGGTCCTAGGGGTTAGGACATCCACATATCCTTTGGGGAGGTAATTAAAGCCACAACAGCTGTTCTGGGCTGGCTGGTCATCCTGGGTGGACTGACTGGGACCTGCACTGTGGGGTAACCCTGGGAACGCTCACTACCTCTGCCTCCTCCAGGTGCTGGAACGCTGGTGCACGTCCCCGCGGACCATCGAGGTCCTGATGAACACCTACAGTGTCATGAAGCTTCCTGAGGAGGCCGCGGGTCTGGTACCTCCTGAAATTCTGCAGGTTAGCCTCCAGGACCCTGACCACACAATCGCTCAGCCTGTCCAAGAGACTCCCACCTCCTAAAGGAAACCCCATGGGTCCCCCCACTCTGCCCCACAGAAATTATCCAGAGACCCTCTTATGTCCCAGAAGAAGAAAACTTAGAGTGAACACCCCACGAGGCTCCAGAAGATACCCACTGGCCACCAGCCTACCCCTGTGGGAGGAATGGGTGCCTCTTCTCCCAGGCTGCCTCGCTGAGCCCTCCATTCTATCCCCAGAAGCACCACCGATTCTACTCCTCCCTCTTCGCCTTGGTGAGGCAGCCCCGATCGCTGCAGCACCTGAGCCGCTGTGTGCTCCGAGCTCACCTAGAGGCCTGCCTGCCCCACGCCCTGCCCCGCCTTCCCCTGCCACCCCGCCTGCTCCGCTACCTGCAGCTGGACTTTGAGGACGTGCTCTACTAGGTGAGTCCTGGCTTCTGTGGACAGTCCCAGCAGGAGTTCTTTTCTTTTTTTTTTTTTTTGGAGGGGGAGGGTAGGAGGCAAGAGGGGAGTTGGGGGCAGTGTCCTGGCCAGAACCAGCCAGCCTCCCATAGCACTGGACCTCTCTGAATGCATGTCTCTCCTTCCAGATGAACGCTGCACTTGGAGAGAGCCTAAAAGCAAGTGCCCCAGACACCAGGGGCTCTGGGCCTGCTTCTCACAGTGCACCAAACCCAGGACTGAACGGAACCAACTCAAGCCCAGGTGGCCCTCTCAGCCAGAGGTCCATCTCCACGGGCAGAGTGGATGCTGCCATTCCCACCAGGGAGAGGCGGATGGACCATGTTTGTTGGAGAGAGAGCTAGGACTCATGGCAAGTGATACTCTCCTCTTGGGGGGTCTCCTGGGATCCCCTCTGGACAGTCCGAATCCTGCATGCACATTAAAGTCTCCAGACCTGTGTTGTTTGGTATTATCTCCAACAGGCCTGCCTCTGAGCTGGCCCACTCACTGGGGCCTCAGGATGGGCAGACTGGATCTGTTCCATGGTGCCAGCTGTGTCACCTTCCCCCTCTGGCATCCACCAGCTGTTGAGGGATCCCAGGCAGATCCCTGCCCCTGTGCCCCGTGATGGTGTCAGAAAAGTCCCAAAGGACAGCCGGCCAGTAGATGACTAGGGTTAGGGCAGAGCTTCAGCAGATGAGGCCGTGCAGACAGTGGGGCAGGAGAGTAAAGGTAGCTGGGAGTGGGGAGCGGGCGGGAGGACAGAAGGCCAAGGGGAAGTTAGGTGCCCAGGTGGGCAAGCATGGAGGGGTAACCATGGATCAGGAGAGAGTGGAAGACCCAGGTTTAGAAAAAATAAACTCCCCCAAAGCTCTCCCTCTTCCCTGTCCTGTAGGTCAGGGAGCATCGGATGCACACTGGTTCCTGCCACTGTTGATCTGCTCCTTCAATTTAGCTTTGAGGTGGCAGGAGCTGAACTGAGAGTTACACCCTTGGGTTCTAGCCATTAACTTACGGAACGTAAGTCTCTTCCCTGCTCTGGGCTGTAAAACAAGACAGGAGGGAGTTCCTGAGGGTCTTTGCAGAACCAGGATTTTAAGAACCTACAGGGGTCCCCAGGAGCCAGGAGCAGGCCTGCAGGGACAGGAGGAAGGGAGGGAGGTGGAGTTGACCGGAGCCGCAGAGCAGCCAATCAAGTGCACTGTAATCCGTGACGACACGGTTGCTAGACAGATTTCCAGGGCCACGGAGTGCGCACGCGACGGAGTTCACGATTTTCCCGCCAACAGCCGGGCTGGCCTGGAGGGCGCGAG